CAGCGAAAATCAAAGAGCACTGATGTCACATGTATTCTGAGCAGTGTTGGGGGTAACTCATTACAAGTAATGCGAGTTACGTAATCAGATTACGTTTTTCAAGTAACTAGTAAAGTAACGCATTACTTTTTTAATTTACAAGAAAATATCCGAGTTACTTTTTCAAGAGATGAAAAGGTCATATAACTACACTCACTCAGACTCACTCATACTGAAAGAAATTTCAAATAATAGATAAATGAATAAAAAAATGGACACAATTATGTGTGTAAAGTGACAAAATGTTTCCTGGAACACACATTCATAACTGATACTCTCTCTCACACACACACACACACACAAACACTTGATCTCTGTCTGTGGAACATTCAGCACCTCTAACAGTCATGAAGTGGTGACAGATTCATGAAGAACCATGTGATCATTGTGTGTGCCCTTGTCACGGTCATATGATGTATATAGGTCAGAGTGGCGTCCCTTCATTGCTCATGTGCCAGTCTATGTTTGGAAGCATGACCACAGAAGCATGCTTTACTCTTTAACCAAGACCATAATGTGAGGACAATCAGAGGTCAAGACACCACTGAGAATTCTAACTTTCCTAACACATTTGCCTGGAGCAACTTTCACCCCTTTAGGAAATACATGGCGCTATGGAGACATTTAGAAAACTACCAAATTACTGATTTAAGTGGCAGATTCAATACAAGTATAAAGATAGATAACCCCTAAAAATACCAATGTTTAAAGGGGTCATATGATGTTGCTAAAAATAACATTTTGTGTATTTGGTGTAATGAAATGTGTTTATGCGGTTTAAGATTTAAAAACACATTATTTTCCACATACTGTACATTATTGTTTCTCCTCTATACCTCGCCTCTCTGAAAGGCGGTCTGAAAAGCGAAAAATGTACTTACAGTCTGGCATTGTAGTCTACTCTTCCAGGAAACAGTCCTCCATAAAATGCGCTGGACACATCTGAATATTTGGGTTGAACTGTTCTGGAACCGTGTTGTAAATACAACTTAACCACTGATTTCTAGTCATGTCCTCTTTTGGAAGACCAAACAAAGTAGTTTCGCTTTCACAACGAAACACACGGTGGGATAGAGTGAGCGGAGGACGGAGGCCTAGAGTGAGCAGAGGCCGGCGGATTCGACAAAGGAGCGTCCGGCGGGCTTGCGGCAACCACATGTGACGACCCCGGGCTGGACTCCGCTTCGTCCACGGTGAAAGCCGATCCGGCGATCATCTTCCCACATAGTGACGTAGACATGTGGGGGCGTGTTAGAACGAGCCGTTTTAGGTAGGCGTGGTTGACTCTTAACTTTTATAAAGAATATCTCTTTGGATTTGAGACTTTAGTCTTTGCAACTTTACAGATCTTCTTTATGCACCAAGAGCTTGTAACACTCCAAAGAGAAAGGAAAAATTTGAATCGCATCATATGACCCCTTTAAGTCGCATTCCATAAGATGCAAACTTTAAGCCAAGTGGTATGCGAAAACACAATCAAACAAATATTTTTCTTTAATTTAGGGGAACCCTGTAATTTATTTTGTAAATTTAGTGTATTTAATTTAAATGTTAATTTATTGTTTACTGATATAAAATACAAACAAATATTGTTCTTTAATTTATGGGAACCCTGTCGTTTATTTCATACATTTTGTATATTTAATTTCAATGTTTATTTAACATTTATTGATAGAAAATACAATAAAATATTTTAAATTATAGGAACCACATAGTTAATTTTATACATATTTAGTTTCAATGTTTGTTTAATGTTTATTGATATACAATACAACCAAAGAAACTATTTTCTTAAATGTATGGGAAGCATTCAAGTTTATTTTATAAATTTTGCCTATTTAATTTCAATCAGGGGGTTTAAACTTCATTTAGAAAAATTAAAGGAAAAAAGAAAAAAAAACTCTTATAATATGAAGATGGAAAAAAACATACAATATTTGACCTTCTGGGGTTGATGATATTCTGAAGGTTAAGCACCTTCTTTAGCAGACCACTTTTTTGGCCTTATTTTGCACCCTATTTATTGAAAGTGCCTCCAACAATAACATTTGTGCAATGCTGTTAACACAAGACCAATATTATTTATCCTACGCAATAATAAAAGGCAACAGAACAGTTTCAGTAAAAAGAACAAAAAACACATTTTGCAACAATTTCACTGGTAGGTCCCCCTGGGGCTCTGTAGTCCCGTTTTATATCTAAATCAGATAAGGAAAAGCCAGTGTTTTCAAATAGAGGTTCAACATTGCTTCTGGATCCTCTCCCATATATTTTTCTTCCATGATGGCTTAATTACTCAAATAATTCAATAAGCAGCATACCAGCAGAATATCTGTTCCTTAGAGGGAACACAAAAGAAGTGTGAAGAAAAGAGCAGCCCTGAAAACACATGCTGGAGATTTACAAAACCTGGAAACAATAACACAGCACAATATCAAATATGAGTTATCAAATATTATGTGTTATGCTTGTATTATCGGGGAAGTCGTGGCCTAATGGTTAGAGATTCGGACTCGTAACCCAAAGGTTGCAGGTTCGAGTCTCCAGTCCGGCAGGAATTGTCGGTGGGGGGAGTGAATGTACAGCGCTCTCTCCCACCTTCAATACCACGACTGAGGTGCCCTTGAGCAAGGCACCGAACCCCCAACTGCTCCCCGGGCGCCGCAGCATAAATGGCTGCCCACTGCTCCGGGTGTGTGTTCACGGTGTGTGTGTGTGTGTGTTCACTGCTGTGTGTGTACACTTTGGATGGGTTAAATGCAGAGCACTAATTCCAAGTATGGGTCGCCATACTTGGCCACATGTCACGTCACTTTTTTAATTTAAAACACTACAAATACAATACACACTAAGAGCAAATGCTATAAACAGTACATTTTTAAAAACCTATATAAACAACTGGAACTGTAAGCATGCTGACCTGTAGGTAAAAAATAAATAAATAAAAACCCAAAAGAACACATTTGAAACTGCAGACACAAACAACGAGTTCTCTGGTATCATAAAACACACTGGGTGTGAAAAGAAAAGGTAGCCTACAAGTGCTCAAGCAAAATACCAAGCTTATTATATAGTAACCTCTTTACAATAACCTGACAGAACTGGGATCCTCATACAAGGAAAATATATGAGACAAAGCTATACAAAAGGCAGTGGGTGATTTGGAACCCTTCTGTAATGAGAGGAAATCTAGATCAAAGAAATTCTACCAATTTTTCAGCTAATCAACATTTTAAGAGCTCCATCTAGTTTGTAATATGCTTGAATAAAGAGAACAGACAAGGCTAAATTAGCTCTAAACAGAGGAACTGAAAAACCCAGGCTTAGTGAGGTTATTTATGACACATATTTCAATATGCCACAAGCTATTGGTGAGTTATGATGAATCTAGAGAGATTCAGTGTACTAAAGAACCAGACGGACTGAATTCACTCTAAAATGGATTGTAAATTACTGTGGATATATATCTAACAGATCACCCTTCTCTCCATAAAAGTATTGCAGTGATAACCTTTATATTAGTACACTGGATTATCAGCAATAAACTGAGAATGAAATAAGCCACGGCTATGGGCTGTATGATTACATGAATGCTGTATGAATGTGAAGGAGAAAGAGAGAAGTGATTCTGTTATCAGGTCCTCAGCTTCCCCTGCATTCCCAGAGGACAACTGCTGGTTACATGAGTTCTGCAGCATTCAAATGTGTTAAAAGTGCATCAACCCTGAGTAAACTCCAGCTTTAAGTACAAACCTTGCTTTACAATACCAACCAGGGATGCGTTTCCCAAAAGCAACTCGCTACCAATAGAGTTCAATAGAAAACTAACGACCATAGTAAGCTAACAAAGGTTTTGTGAAATGCAGTCCTAGTCTGGAGAGCCTAGGCAGATGACTTGCCACTGTAGTATGTTATAAATAGCCCTACCACTAAATTCACAAAACCAACAAGTAGGCTAGTCTCGATTACAGCCAGTAGTTCCTCTAATCTGAGTATCATCCAACTGCACCATGGCCCATAATGATGTTTTATTCATTTGAGCAAACTAAAAAAATGTTTTCAGCTACTGTCATTTAGGGAAGAAATAATACCATTTAAAATCTTTGATGATGCCTGTTAAACATCAAAACTTGATCATTTTACCACATAAGTTTCTAGACTGTTACAGTCTAAAAGATTGAACAGACTTGTTAAGCGATAGGCCTAAGCAAATGTGTTCTTTCATCATGAACAAATCATTCTCATTTACTTCCATGTACTGACTCATATCTTTAATTCCTTTTGACGGCTTTCCCGGCTTCATAGCCTATATATTGAGTAAACCACAGGCCAATCGAATTTGAGCACAGTTGTAAAGAAGTATTTCATTGGTTGGACTAACTGAAAGAACACACCCTCTTCACTGAATGAGTGAGGTAATCTCGTTCACAAGAAATAGAGGAAGAGGATGGATAAATTATGAATAGGCTATGTAGAAATGACTTTTTGTCTCTATAATATAACTAGTGTATTAAAGTCACTTCCAGCTTAAACGTTTTTCTTTTGTCTTCTATAGTAAAACACATATGATCCTTAAACACTTGAGTCTGTAGTCTAGATTAATAAACGCAAATTTTAATAAAGGATCATAAGATTTGTTTCAGTCCTAAAAGACTCGACGTTTACAACGAATCAGTGAGTGAAAGATTCAAAGACTCGCTCACTCATACTCACTAAACGACTCCCACTTGTCGCCACCAACTGGCATAATAATGTAGCGTGCTCGAAAAGTTATTCTTCACTGGGATGAAAAAAAAAATCAAAAGATATTATTTACAAACTCCGGAGCTTGTTTACAACAATCAAGAAACTGAAAAATAAAAACACCGACATATTTAGGATAAATCTGAAGGCATCCACAGTTCTTACGAACCCAAATCAAGTGTGTTCTTTGTTTTTAAAGAAATATATAGAACTCTCACCTTCATCTAACAGTCGCTCGAGATGGTTGAAGATACCACAGAAGTTTGGCAGGCTGCTCATCAGTTTCTTGTCGTTCATGAGCTGCATCAGATAATCAGGAGTCGGCTTAGGCTTCTCCTTCGTTTCCATTTCCCCAACCATGTTTAAAATATTACCCTCCAAAAAAGCGTTAAAATTCGGGAAAACACGACAGTCCCCTAAAAAAGCAAACGGAGGGGTTTGATACGTTTTCCCTGTTTTATTCCAAACTCCTGCCCCGATGATGCTACTTTTCAAACGCAATGTCGCAAAGAAACTTTGTATCACCCCCAATCATCGGTTTTTAAAAACCCAACAGATGACGCAGTTAACGAAAGGAATCTGCGCGAAAGTTCTTATTTGTTTGTAGAGTGTTTACCGTCAAATAACTCCAAAAACTCCCGCATGCCCGCTGAGATTTGTGCGTCTGTCCTCTTCTACAGAGAATGTTTTATCGCCACCAAACGTTTCTTTATCCAAGCTGTTGAAAACAGCTTCTCCCCAGAACTTTCCACAGACCGTCGACGTCGTTCAGAGAGCTCTTGAATAACGGTTTTAAAGCAGGGCAATGTTCACTTGTAGGCTCTGTCTCTCGCGCAGTGGAAACTCCTTTAGTTGCGCCTGATGTTTCTGTGTTCAGACCTGTTCTCTCCCAAAGCTGTCTGTCACATGATCATGATCAACCCTACACTGCTCAACATTGCCATCGTGCGAAGTCGCCAATGGGAGGAGAAACCTGCACAATTTGCCTTTCTCCCTCTCTCACGCAGATGCAGACCCTCTCACACACAAACTTGTACACATATACTTCTTGTGAGCAGTAGCTCCCATAGACGTGTTGTTCTTATATTAAAGTCAATGTGATTTGTACAGATTCTAAATAAATGAAAATATGCAAACATTCGATTGAAAACGTTATAAGTAGCCTACTGAAATACAGCCAACTTGTGTGACAACTAGCCACTTTCTATCCCTAAACCTTACTATATTTACATGTTCAGATTTTCAGCTATTGTAAAACAAATATGCACACTCAATAACCCTGAAGCAATGATATGAGGAAAAAAAAGAAAGTGGGTATTTTTTCTGCATTCAAATGCATTACTAAATATTTAACATGGACTGTCTTACAGATAAGATTATCTTAGACGAAGCATGATGGATATCTTGGTCTTATAATCAAGTTTGACTAGGCCAGTGTCTGTACTTCACTGTCTTTGTTTCATAAGCATGCATTTTACATGTTCAAATCCACCTTTTAAGCAGGGTTTATTTCTGAAAGTGGTGCAAATGCATTGGCAGGAGTGCATCTCAGCCAAGTTTTGAGAAACAGGAGAGAGGGGAATGAAAGGGCTTGGAGGAACAGGAAAAGTTTTCATCAATTCTTGCGGCCCTCCTCCTTCCTCTGTGAGGTGGGCAGCATTCTTATGCAGATAGACACAGATTCTAGCAATTGCTCTAACAACAACTAAAGGCCAGAGTGAGAGGCCCTCCTGCAGGGAGCGGTTTGATGATGAAATGCTGACCTAGGATCAGATTTGTGCCATGTAACGTTTTAAGCAACCATGCAAGTGCAAGGGGAAAACAGATCCAAAAACGGGAGAAAAAGACTTGTTGAAGTTCTCTGCATTCATACTGGGTTCTGCCTCCTTACCTAAGTGTCCCTACCGCCTTTGTGATTGTACTCTGAGTGAGCGTGCAGGGACAGCGTGGGTTAGCAAGCTAAACCTCGCACACACTGCAAAACATATTTTCTTGATCAGCACATTTTTTTCAGTGAATATCCAAAAAAACATTCAGTAAAGATGAATTTACTTGACACAATATATATATATATATATATATATATATATATATACATTTTTATAATTTTTTATCATTTTAAGCATAAAGCTTAGAAAATTCTCTATATAGCAAAATACATTTATATAATAGATATAAAATGTATATAAAATACAAAATATGTATATAAAATATAAATATACAAAAAATTTATATACAATATTTATTTATATAAAATACATTTATATAATAAATTTATTCTGTCTTGTTTTAAGCATAAATCTAACTAAATTTAGTGATTATGCTTACAACAGGAATGTACATGAATATAAAATTGTTATTTGTAATAAATAAAATAATTAATTTAAAACAAGCCAGAAAACGCCATTATATAAAGCGTTTTTTTTTTTTTCATGTTATTTCATGTTAAAAGAAAAATAATTTTAATGGACAAGATTTTTTATGGATAACATGGGTTGGTGCTAAAACATTTACTTTTATTTTTTACAAAACTCCAGGAACAACTTCTCCATGACAGATATATCTATATATAACTGATATTTTAATGGTCAGAAGATTCCTCCAGGATGCTGTGCGGCCCTTTCTCCCCTTATTTTTCACTATAGGGAATCAGATGGGTGCTAATTTGTCAGGCCGTTGAGATGAAAGTGAGGATGGTATTAGTCTGGACATCAAGGGATTGGAATGCAGGCTATTTAGCATGGGAGTCAGACAATCCCCAGGGCCTCCCGTCACCACAGCACAACCGCTAAATAAATAGAGAAGTAATTAACAGACTAGTGAGAGAACAGACCATTTCATTACTGCACCTTCTGATAGCGAGAGAGAAAACAGTTCACTAGACAAAGCCCGTGAGATGTATTGACAAAAGAATATGTGAAAATCTCAGAGGAAAAAGACACAATAGTCATTTGATTGACACCTCATTAAGATGGATTATTATAGGCTTTGAGCAAAACAAAGAATAAGTATTTCATTTTCTTTGTGGAAAGTTGAAAAAACAAGACAGATGTATTATTCTGATGTGCACATCACACATGCTTTCTTTTAGCCCATATCCTTTTAGAACAGAGGGCCTGTTTTCTTCTAAGAAATCATTTACTGATGGCCGCAATCACTAAATATAACTGAAATGTGCAATTTCATCACTAAACAGAAGTGCAAAAAATTACTTTTTTTCAAACAGGGTTTCACTCTCATCTGCCATTGGCTGTACAAACAGACAGCATCCATTAATTAAGTATAATAGTATGATTGCATACTTTACCTTTAAATTTATCATGAAACGGAAGTTGACGATCATTTATTCCCTTTTATGACGCATGTATCGCTGAGTGAAATGGCTTCTGGAGCTAAAATAAAATAGGGTTAGGAAATCTGGTCATCCCAGATGTAGAAGAGTTTGTTTCTTTATCGGAACAGGTTTGAAAAACAGAGTTACATTTCTTGCTCACCAGTGAGTGAATGGGTGCCGTCAGAACAAGAGTCTGATCGAACAGCTGATACAAACATCACAATATTCCACAACTCAATTCCAGTCCATCAATTAACATATTTTGAAGCGAAAAACTATGTGCATGTAATAAAGAAATTCATCATTTGAGGCGTTTTAACTTTAAACTTTCGGGTCAAAATACCAACAACAAAAAAAAAAAACTATAATAATGCTTCCTCTGATAAGAAATAAAGAAAAAATAAATAAATAAAAGCAGTTCATCCCCTGTTGTCCTCTCATATCAAAATCCAGCAACATATTTAGAACTGCATTGGATTGGGTTTTTGCTTATAAATGGTGCTTGTGCATATTTCTCTCCTGATTCAGATGAAATGGATTTTTCCCTGGAGAAAGCAATATTATGGATAGAGGATATTTATTTTAGCTGAAAATGTCGTAATGATGAATTTGTTTTGTTGTTGCAGCTTTTCACTTCACAAGACGGATGGACTGAAGTCACATGGATTACTAGTGGATTATTGTGATATTTTAATCAGCTGTATGGACTTTCATTCTGACGGCACCCATTCACTGCAGAGGATCCATCAGTCAACAAGTGATGTAATGCTAAATTTCTCCAAACCGGTTCTATTGAAGAAACAATCTACATCTAAGTATAAAGTTTTAGCAAATTTTTATTTTCGGTGAACTGTTCCTTTAAGAGCACTGTAATCTGACAAGAAAACCGTTTGAAAGCTTTATTTTGGACATAAGACAAATGGCATTGTTGTTAAACAGACACAAGGATCCTCTGCACCTGTTTTTCTTTCATGTGTAGACAGGCTGGCAGTTACTTGTGACATGGCGATGAACGTATGTGTCCCAGTTGTGTGATTATGTTAAACAATGTTTGTTCACTGTGTGTTTGTGAAGAACTCTACACTCTAAAAATGCTGGGTTGTTTCAACCCAATTTTGGGTCAAATATGGTCTAACCAAACTGTTGGGTTAAATTTTGGTTACATTTTTAAATTAACTTTTTAACCCAACAGTTGGGCTAGTCCATATTTGACCCAAAATTGGGTTGAAACAACCCAGCATATATAGCACAACCCAGTGTATATATTTGCATGTTTGCATGTGTGTTTGGGTATGAATGTATGCTCATCTAACAATTATGTCATTGTACAAAAGCATCCAGTTTGTGTGTGTACCCACTTTAAGAATGCTGTATATCTGGGAATGTACATTGTGTATGACATGGTGAATGATGCATGTTTTACCACTGGGTCTTTGTGTAGTAACAAAGGTTGGTTTGTAGTCTGTCTGTACTCTGCAATCCATTGAGTGTATATATCAGTGGAAAACAGAGAATGAACATGCTGTTTTGTTTATGATATTTGTTATGATGAATGTCTGGAGACTACTAAGTGTCTCTCCCACGTCATAGCATACATACCAAAGCCAAGAAGGATTTAAACAGACAACTGTATCTGCTTTTGCTTTGTGCATGCATGCGGTTCTGTCAACAACAAGCCAAACAAGCTTTACATTCAGCATGAGGTCTGGGTCAGTTAAAAGGTCCAAGTTCAGTTCATGCTTAGGCATCATGGCTGTGTCTTCTGACATTCCATTATAGTCTATTGACACAATTGTCCATGTAAAACAAAAGAATATGGTACACTAACACATGGCTCAAGCTATTAAGATATTTGTCATTCACTGTGAATTCATTGTGTTGTATTTATTATGTTTTAGATATTTTTTCAAACATATTTTATGTACTGTATATACACATTACCTTTCAAAAGTTTGGGGTCGATCAGATTTTTTATTGTTTTGTATCTTAGTCTTATGCTCACCAAGGCTTTATTTTTTTTTTACCAAAATAGTAAAAACAGTAATATTGTGAAATATTATTACAATTTAAAATAACATCAAGCAAAGGCAAAGCTGAATTTTCAGGAGCAATTACTGTCACTTTTGATCAATTAAATGCAAACTTCTGAAGAAAAGTATTACTTTATTTTAAAAAAAAACTTACTGATATGTGATTTTTGAATAGTAGTGTATTTATATAAATTGTATATAATTATTTTAAAATGTGCATTAAAGAAAAGTATAAGCTCCTATGTAATTGTAATTAAGTCACATTGGCAAGAAAGTGATTGGCAAAAATATAGGTGTAAATTTACACTGTATGTGACAAGAATTCTGTGAGCTGCTGCCCACATAGATAACACTGAATGTTTATCTCTTTATCCTAATTTAGACCATGTGTCTCATTTCAGAAGGATCAAGACTGTGTCAAGCATACAGTCTCCTAAATGAGTATTTGAGTCATGATTCCCTATTTCATGTTTTCTCTACAAGACTTTTCATATAATCAAAATCCTTTCTGCATCCCGGCAATTCATATGTGGCCAGGCATTTCAGCAGATATTCTTAAGACCACCTCCAGTGAGGCAGCCCACCTTAGCTGTGGATTCAGCTGCCCATCACCTGTCACTCAAAAAAAAAAAAACTATTGGGAGACCATGGTGTGCCCAATTTGTTGCTCCATTTGAAGAATATTTTTTTGAATATTTATCGGCTTGAGATAAACACCACAAACACCAATACCTTACAAATTCCTTAAAAAGGAAAAAAATGGCAGTGACCTCTAGACTGGGGTTCACACCTGTGGCTCCCTTAGTTTGATGAATTCTTTTCTCAACCTTATCTACTGGAACATTATGAATTCGAACAAAACTAAAGGAAATTTTGTTTGCTCTTTAGCTCATGTTAAGGGAAAATATGCAGAATAATGTGGCATGAAATTAAACATTATTAAGCAGCTGAAATCATAATAAAATTAGCTTGTAAAAATTTTTAAATATACTTTTTATATTTACCAACAATGACATTTAGTTTAGAATTAATTTGCAATGAGTGGGGATAGAATTTTGGTGAATGTGATATTTGGAGAAATATCAGGTGAATAGAAACTTCAAAAGAACAGCATGTGTTTGAAATAGATTTTTTGTAACAATGTAAATGTCTTTTTTTGATCAAGTTAATGCTTCCTTACTATTCTTACTGACCCCAACATTTTTAAAGATCGGTATGTGTGTATGTGTATGTATGTGTGTGTGTGTGTGTGTGTGTGTCAAAAAAAACAACAACTATGTTCTATGAAAAACTTAACAAGCTTTCTGTGGCACAGATTCCATATGGGCCTGATCATGCTCACTGGTTGAAAGAATTGCATCAGAAATTACATGTAATTTTCTGATACATCACATTTTTTCATTTTCTGATGCACGAATTACGAAACTATTATCTTCTGATGCCGAGAATGCGTCCGTGTTTTAACAACACTGAATAATACAGTGCCACCAAACTCATTTCTCTCCCTGGGTTATATAGCACCCTCCACAACAGCTATTTTAGCTCCATTCCTCCCCCTCATCACCCCTTTTCATTCTCTCTCTGGTTGTGTTCTTTCTGCACAAAATCATTGGTATTCACTAATAAAGACCTCAGAGACATAATGCAGGAGACATAGCCCCGTTACAGAAATAGATTTATTGCTAATCCATTATGCATAGTGGGTAATGTAACATATCTGATGCGCTGGCTCACAGCGGGAGGAGAAAGAGGGTTTAAGTGCATCGAACATTAGGCTGGAAAACTGGAGAGCAGAGGAAGCCACAGGCATCACAACATGCCACCCAGCAAGTAGATGGGCAGTCCTGGCCTCCAACCACACTTGCTGCCACTTCATTTCTTCTTCTTTTCCTCTCAATAAAAAGGAAAGTTCGCTCAAGGCAAAGAGATTCCCTGAGGTGACTCTCGAAACCACATGTAGCCACTAAATGCTAATAGACAAGGAAAGAAGCCAGACAGTATGGAAATGGACGTACTGGTGTGAGGCTGTGGGGATGATGCGATTCAGCTCAAAAAAATCTCACATTCGTTGCATTTGTGTGTCTTTCCTTTTTTATTATTTATTTAAAAAGAGACAGCGTACATTAATCAACATTCAAATAAATGAGTTAGATGAATGGCTAATTTCCATCTCGGCAGTTCCTTTGCTTTATGTTAATAGTCAGAAAATGAAAGGAAACAAAAATACAGTAGATAAAAAGCATATACAGCTCAGTTAAATATAATTAAGCAGCACATATATAATACTAAGATGATGAAAGCATAATAGTCTCATTATAGATAAGAAAAGACACAACCTGAGCTTCACATGGATTTAAACATTCAACTAAATATGGATGTTCTAAGGTTAAACATCTCATATTTCAGGCTTTCTGGACTATACTCGGTTCTGGCTGGTCAATCGCGGCATTCTGTGGTCAAATATTTTCTAATAGTGCAACAGTCGGGTTTCAGAAGTTAAAATTCCATTCATTTTCTCCATAGGGAAACTGTGAGTTTCAAGATTGTTAATCAATGATATGTGGGTTTTTTTGTTGATCTATCAGTTTGCATTATTTCAACCTATTTTCAAAGAATAGTGTTTACCAGAGGAATTCACAGTGGAAAAACGACATTACCGATGATTCTGCAGGAAAAATAAATCACTTAGGTGAGAAAATCACACCAAAAGATCTCTGCCACAAACATCCACTGCCATGAAGCAACATTTCATGGAACTGTAGTTCCTTACCTCATTAAAGCCTAAAGTACTTGTACACTGTAATGCACTATTTTTGTTGAAAGCTGATGTGAGATAGAAATAATCTTCAAAAAAATCTACATATTTATTTATTTCCATTGTAAGGAATTATTTTTAGTCAAAGCTAAAGTTAATAGAAATAACATTATTTACATATTTGTGACCCTGGACCATAAGGGTCCATTTTTGGAAATTGAGATTTATACACCATCTGAAAGCTGAATAAAACTATTTGAAAATCTGGAATCTGAGGGTGCAAAAAAATCAAAATATTGAGAAAATCGCCTTTAAAGTTGTCCAAATGAAGTTCTTAGCAATGCATATTACTGTTTTGATATATTTACGGAAGGAAATTTACAAAATATCTTCATGGAACATGATCTTTACTTAATATCCTAATGATTTTTGGCATAAAAGAAAAATCAATAACTTTGACCCATACAATATATTTTTGGCTATTATACCCATGCTACTTATGACAGGTATTGTGGTCCAGGGTCACACGGGGGCTGACCAAGATATGTGTCAGAGACAGTCATGATTACAGGAATATATGGGCTTGTTTTTCCACTGGTTGATCCAAGCATCTATAACACAGATTCAAGGAGAGATACAGTCATCCATAGTCTCTCTTTGGACCAAGAAAGTCCAGAGAGCACATCTGTGGTATCCAAGTCTTTCACATTGATGACAGATACATGATCAACGGATGTGATTAGGTCAGATTTCTATTCCAGAGCTTGGTTCAGTTCCATAATGCCAGTCAGTGAGGGTTTGAAGGACAGAAAGTCTGTGGTTCATTGTTTTTAGAAGCTACACAGAGGAGTGACTTCATAAATGGAGCTAGCAGCCTATGTGATGACATCACCACAGCTGCCTACAGATTGATCTGTCAGTTCAAATCACCCATCACACTGTACCAGATGAACAACATCTGAAAATCATATGACTGCATCAGAAAATACTGATGAAATATTTTGAAAGACTTATGACTTAGTATTCAAGATCTAAAAGCAGGTCTTAAAGAGATAGTTCACTCAAAAAAAAGAAGAAAATTCTGTCATCATTTATTTATCATCATGTTTTTCCAAACCCGTATCTTTCCTGCTAATGATTGTACACTTCATATGTCCAGATCTTCTAGCAGTCTGTGATGTTGATAAAGAAAAGCTTGCTTGAATCTAAAACCCCACCAGCTGTAACTGTGAGGCAGGTTAGCTGAATAATTCTGCACACAAAGAATGATAAGATTGTGTCAACAGTTCTGTAACGGCACATAAGCTAAAAGAGACGTTATTTGATTGTGTGTGCATTTGTTCAGAGAGACTTTGAGGGACTAGAGTGAAATTTCTCAGGATGAAGCAACTGACTCTCAAGAGTTATAAAACAGACTTGGAGGGTTTGAAACGGATCCAGTTCAGACTGTTTCCTCCAGCGACCTACATTAAAAGCAAACATAGAAAGAAAATAAAAGCCAGATTTTATAGCTTCATTTGAAACAGTTGTCATCTCTGTTGGCCTGCACAGTAACAGCATTTACTACCAAAAAAAAAAACTGTTTATTTTTTGCCACATAACTCATTAGGGAATCGTGTGAGGCATGATTGTAAAGTAAAAACAACTATTTTTCTTCTTAGAAACCTAGTTTATTTTTTTAAGCAGTTACAAAACTCATACTTTCTAAGTGAGTATTAGTACAGTATGTGGTCAAATCTATCTTCTCTAAAGCCAAATAAAAGTAAATGTGTCATCTAATAGGATAAGGATCACATTGCTTTCACTCTATAGAAGGAAATGTGCTGTGTTATCTTTACACACCTGGAATTGTCTTCAAAGTTGTCCAGTTTAGGAACAAAAGAAACTGGATCAAGAGCCTGTGCTCAATGCATTCTTGGTAAATGCTCTTTTCTCTCTCTCTCAGGAATGGGGTGTTGCACATTACACACGCATGTTGAAGGAAATATCTCTGGATCCACTACGTCATTGCCATCTGCTGAAGTCAGATTCTCTCCGGTCTGATCTCACTCAGTTTACATTTCATGTCAGCGCACAAAACAACAGAGTATGAAGATTGCAGCACAGCCCAAGGCATAACACGGTCAGTTTCACCACATCATAAAATGCTGGGTGGGGAAGTACTATATATGATTGCTTCAACCGTACTTTCTAATGAAAAACACATGGAACAGTGTACTGTACTACTATATCTCTGCAAAATCAAGAGAAACAAGTGTAGACAGACAGTAAAATGAAGTTCAGTAATCAAATCAATCAAAAATAGTACATTATAAATAGCGACTTGTAAAAACTGTCTCGAGATTTATAAGCGCAGACATCTGATATACTGATATTACATTTGGACCAGACACTTAAAGAGGAAGCGCTCACACAAGTGGGAGGAAATGAAAGGACTGGGAACTGTGTGTAGATAATGAATAAGACATGATGGAACTCGTGGGATTTGAAAGACTGATGGTCCATCTGAATTTGCTTTACTTCTGAGAGCAAGTTTTATTGAAAGATTTAAGACCGCTCTTCGCCTCTCTGTGACACGCATCCCCGAGGTCATTAACGTCTGATCTGCTGTGACTAAAAGTGTTCTTGAAGAGCCATAATAAGTGTGGTTTTATTAGGAATTATTAACTACAGGGTTGTTGGCATTTGTTTTGAAGACCGGGTCGGGAGTTCATGAAATGTGCAACTCCTTATACGGAAACCGCAACAATAAACAGACAATAGAAAAGAGATTTTGTAACAGATTTCCTAAACTTAAACTTACGGTTATTCTTAAACTTTGTTTGCTATACACTACCATTCATAAGTTTGGGGTGAGTAAAAATACTAAGCAAAACACCTCAAAACTATTGAGCAAAACAACAGTTTTCAACATTGATAATAATAAGAAATGTACCAAATCAGTGTATTAGTGTCACGAATCCGGGCCGTGGCTATCCGTCCGATTGCCACCAGAGGTCGCTCTTCCATCTTATTGACTCTCACACTGCACAGACTGATATACTGTACCCTGGACTACATTTCCCATCACCCATTGCACTAATGACACACACAGCTGTAACCAATCTAAGACACTTTATAAGCCATGGACTTCCTCCTTCAAATCGCCGAGTATTGTAAGTGCATATCGCTACCCAAGCTGATAGCTATTTTACGGAGCCTGCTCCAGTTTACCTAGTCATTGTCATAGTCTTGCCTTGCCTGCTTTCCCGTGTTTGGATTCTTTTGGATTACCCTTTCGTCTTGTCTTTTGGATTATGTTTGCACCTTGCCTGGACTATTGCTCGTGTTCCTCGGATTACACCTCTTGTCAAGCCCTCTGGATTACGTTCGCCATCGATCCACCCACGCCTGTTTAACGGATTACTCTTGTGTCTTGCCTGTGCCATATCTGTTGGTGTTCGACCCTGCCTGTTTCTGATCATGTCTTCTAATAAAGCTTTGCAAATGGATCCGCACGTCATAATTACACTAATCCCATAACAATTAGAATGGTTTCTGAATGATTATGTGACACTGAAGACTGGAGAAATGGCTGCTAAAAATTCAGCAGGGAAATCAAATACATTTTTTAATATTTTTAAACATTTGAAAATGGTTATTTGTGAATTGTAATAACATTTCACAATATTACTGTTTTTACTGTATATTCATAAAAATGCTGCCTTGGTGAGTATAAGAGACTTTCAAAAACGTTTAAAAAATCTTACGGACCCCAAATTGTCGACAGCCAACACTTACTGGGTAACTAATTAATATAATATAATATAATATAATATAATAGATTATAGATTCATATAATAGATTATAAAAGATTGCTATGTGTCAAAGTTTAACTAGACACCTGAAACAAGCCTTTTCCAAGGAGGTCTACCATACTTAGAGAAAGTGTTTTAGCGTAGTACTGTTACACTGACAAGCTGCCAACCAGACAAATCCATTTAAAAAATAAACTTCAAATGTTGCTGTTGTGCCACATACTTGGATAACCATTTATTCTGAAGGAATTATGGCTGGCCTGATCAGAGACACAATCAATATTATTCTTTGAAAACAAGTTATCAAATATATTGTGTGTTAGACAAGCATTTTACTGGTCAAACACAACCGAACCCTGCAGCGAGGTTAAACAAAGAATTGCATTTTCATTTTATCATGAGGGGTTAGTTGTCAGCGACTCAGATGTAATGCCCAACCTTTAGAAAGACATGAGTCATAGATCTCAGAATCTTCCAAAGAGCAAATGTCATAGCCCACAGTAATTCGGACTTGGTTCATTTCTGCTACACAATGTTCTGTCAGTCCGTTATACCGAGAACCTCTTGTTCCAGAGCTTGTTACTGGATACTGCGAACGCTCACACAGGTCACACAAGC